TTTTTGACCCCAGGAGATCCAGGGGTCTAATTTTGCTCCTGTTTTTTCATCCTGTACGTGTCTCTTGCGGCGTCTCAAAGGGCTTTGAGACACTGCAAGAAGCACGTGAACGCTTGTGTGGACGCGCCCAAGGTGTATATCCATTTTATGCTTGCATTTTGTACTCAAATGAATTTCAAGAGCAAATCTGAATATTGGCAGTTCTTTAATTTATACTCACTTTTAAAATATGGCTATACGTCTCTGTCATGCCATCACTGTTCACCTGCAGTAAATTAATTTAAAAAAGAAACTAGAGGGATTGATGAAGTCCATAATCTTTCCAGGTAGTTTACTCAAATTCAGAGTTGAGAAAAAAAATAGAATGGTAATTACAGTAAAGTTACAGGTTTTTTTGTCAGCAGAGATAAGAGACTAAATAGAGCGTAACATAGATTCTTTAAAAGCTTTTTAAAACTCTTTGAAGAGATGTACAAGGCAAAACAAAATGTCACTGACAAGGGTATCTCAGTGATATGGAATACATTTTGTGCACAAGCAGTTATGAAGTAGCACTTATTTTTCCCACTTTTCTGCTGACCTACAATAGCAAACTGGGACATGAAGTACTATGAAGTTAGAGAGAAAGATGGTATAAGACAGTCATTGTAGCCCCATATTGCAAATATTTCAGTATGGAAAATGTCTTTGATATGAATGGGATGTTTCCTTGAATGAATGTACACATTATATTACTTAAGTGTTTTTGTAATCAGTGCTATTATGTTTTGTGTGAGATGCCAAATTGAGCTGCCATATCCAGATAAAGTGATATAAAGTAGGTTCCCTGTTATCAGGCTTCTTACCCTGGCAACAATATTCTGTACCATTTGTAATCTAGAAATTAATTAGGAAAGTGGACGGTTTGCTTTAAAATATATTGAAAAGGGTCAGGAGGGTGATGTAAGGAGGAAAATGATACATTTCAGGGGAGGGATAGGATGGAAGAAAAGCAAGAAATTTACAATATAGCACTTTCATTCTAATGTTTATAATTCATCTATCAGAGGGACCATAATGGATGTGAAAATACTCCTTGCAGTTATTTGTGTCTGTAATGCAAGTTGGCTTTAAATGATCTGAGCAAACTTCTGCAGAGGGAAGAGTATATGAAAGCATTTTTGGAGTCCAGTATTCTATTTCAAAATTAATTACTCTTAAAATGAGTGATGCTTTTAAAGTTATAGAGCTCTCCAGTGGCTTTCTATGTTGTTTTATACCCAAAATGCCATGCTCATGACACTTTATTTCAGGAGTAGATTTAAGATAACTTCATTTACTCAATATACTTTCCTGTTCTAAGCTGTGTTGAAGTCATCTGATAGTACTATAACTTGAATATTAATTTTAACGAAAGTAGTTCTTATTATTCCAATAAAATCATTGATAATTGTAAATCTGCAGTTATCAAATATTTGCTAATTTTTTAGACTCGAAACCCCTAAAGCTATAAATGTATTTTTCTTTTGCAGGGGATCTTTCCTGCCAATTATATTCACCTGAAAAAAGCAATAGTCAGCAACAGAGGGTGAGTATTTTTCTTGATTATTAAGAAACTGCAGTATTTGTATGAAGGAGAACACAGTCCAAAAAACAATTCAGTTGGATTTTTTAAAGTAACAGTATTTAAATGTTTTCCTGACTCTACTAATTTTTGTGTATGCTTCACTTTTTAAAACTTGAAAATCAAATGTTGCTTTATAGAGGTTGTCCACCGTTTATAAAAATCTTATGAATTTTTTTGTTTTTAGTATTGCAAAAACAAACATCTATTTACTCTTCTGGCTGTACACTATATGAGAGTAACTTCATGAATAATAATGATATAATTAGTAATGGACTTTTTAAGAAACCATTCCCTCCACTGTTTCTTATTTATTCATTTTTTTAAGCATGAATGGGTGAAGTTTTATAAATTGCAGTATACGAAGGTAACCCAGAAAAGTAGCAAGCACGTCAAATATTCTTACGATGACTTTCAGTGACTTTCAGTGGGCTGGGGAGGGGGGAACCCTGAAGGTAAAATTTTCAAAAGCACTGAAGATTATGACTTGAAGTCACATTTTCGAAAGTGACATAGGCAGGCTTTTTTGAAAAAATTGTGTGCGCAGTACGTTTACATTGAAATTGGAAAATCTCATTGAAACATAGGTAAGCATACTTTTTTTTTTTGTTTTTGTTTTTTGTAGTATAGATGTAGTGACACAGATTTCAATAAAAGTTTTAGCTGCTTACTGCTGACTATGGGTGTGTGCTCTGGTTGCTGGCCTGAACTTTTCTGTGTCACTTTGCATTCACTGCTGTTATTATCTGTTCTTGTCCAAAAAAGTCTCCCCATGTAGCATTCATGTCTCCAAGTTGTATTACTTGCTCTAAAGCAGGTGTCAAACTCGTCTGAGCCCATGGAGTTGGTCCATCGGCCGGATCAGGCCCATGGACTGGCTGAGGAGGGCACCACTTATGGTGTGCATATTGGGCCCTGTGTGCAGAACTGGTCTGGCAGGGTGTGGGTTAACTCAGACCCATGGGCAGCACCTGGGCTGGAAGACAGAGTTCTGTGGGCCAGATCTGGTGTGCAGTGCTTAACTTTCATACCTGAACTTTCATGCTCTAAAGCAGTGATTCTCAACTAGGGTGCCATTAGATTTTCTTAATGGTGCCATAGGATGCTGCAAAATAATTGTGCTATTAGGCATACAAGCACCTAAACATGATTTACCAGATAAACCCAAAGATGTCAAATACCATGTTTACTTGCATACCCCACACCTTTCCAAAATTGGGGGGTGTATCTTAAGCAGGGAAGCTGATTTTTCTTTGGAATATAGAAGCAGGGAGAGGCTGTACTCCAATAGCTGCCAAAATGGCTGCCACTTTTTTCTGGCAAAGCTGGCAGCAGAGGCAGCTTTCAATGTTAACCCTCGCACAGCTGCTATTAGCTAAGCAGAATAGGTTGTGATTAGTAGCAGTTTAGCTGACTCAGCAAGTGAGCTGCTGCATGCCATCTGTAGTACAGTGATGAGGCTTGTGGTGTGGAAATATCACTTTATTATTTATAGGAACTTGTATAACAAACTAATTACGGTAAAGAAGTAACAGTCTTGCTACTGCTCTTGCAATGGTCTGGAGCCTCACCTTGCTGCTGTCCTAGTTTTTGAGGAAACTCGTGCTGCTTTCCCCCCTACTGACTCCTGGGATGCTACACTTCCTGGATACTCTGTTTTTATTTACTTTATGGCCCCTGACAGATGTTACCCTTAATAGATGAGTAACTGGTTAATCATGTCTTAAGTAGTGACCTGGCTCCATGTTCAATCAAGTGATGGCAAGATGAAATGAGGATAAATCTCAAAGTTATTATATAAAATAGCTTTAGGGTTGCTTCATATCGTGCCTTTAATTGAATATGTGGCCAGTGCTTCCAGCCTTCAGAACAGTGGAGCTCTTCAAGACTACTGTGTGCTCCAGGGGCTGGGAGCACTTGTCAGCTGATGGGCTCCCAGCCAGGGAATGCATGGTGTGCTCCCCCAGCTGGGAGCCCCAATCACATGGGGCATAGCAGGAAGCACAATTTTGGGGATTGGCATCAGATCCGTCAGAGGCCTGTGTCACACAGTTGGCTGTGACTATGGAAAAATATTTTTTGTACATTCTGCCTTGCAAAAACAAGGTTTCTGTGCATCTTATTTGGGAGAGTATGGTATGCATTAAAATATGGTAAGCCTCCACGGGGTCAGAAACATTCTGACCTGTTGTGTTTTTATGACTTCTTTGCAATAGAAGAATTGCTCTTATTTTTCTATAGTCAAAAAATAAGTAAAGGCAAAGAGGTGGCATTTTTGAGGGGTGTTTTGAGTCTCAACAAGAGGTACCGTAAAAATGTTGAGAATTGCTGTTCTAAAGGTGTGTCTATGCAGTAAATTTACAAGACCAGGCAAGGATATGCTGCAGCAGTGGTTTTCAAACTGCCTAAAGTCATATCACTTCTTCTGCCATGGAACCCCTACCCCTGTCTTCACAGGCTGTGTGAGTTGATACGGAGCCAGGCAACCCAGCATACCAGTGGCAGCCACCATGACCCCAGTCTCTTTATGGAACCCCTGATGACCTATTGCATAACCCCAGTGTTTTGTGAAACAAAGTTTGAAAACCACTGTGCTGAAAAATTTGCATGGACTGCTTCCTAAATCGGAAATGTTGGAGTCATGTCTGCGCTGGCACTGCGCTTTGGGAAGGCCAGTTAAGAGTGCTGAGCATCTGTGCTAATTAGGCTTTTCCCATGCTAATTATCCTTCTGTTATGCTTTATGAATGTAGCCGTGCTGTCTCTGGTTAGGAGGCAGCTGATGTGGAGTGGTGTGAAGTGCTTGAGAGAGATGCTGCTTGGCTTAGTAAATTTACTGTGTAGGCATGGCTTAAATGGCTTTGAGGATCTGCCGATTCTGATGTCTAATCATTAATGCTTAAGCACAGGAAGTCAGCAAGTGATGTTTAGGAGCTTATCTCCAAAAATAAGTCATCCACTTTGCACAGTCAAACCAAACAAATAGAAGGCCCTGATGTTCTACGACTCCTTTTCTCCCATATTTAGTTAATGTTAACATGTGCCAAAAGACAGTAAGTGAGCTAGTAAGTTGTTAAATGGCTTGCAACTTAACATGTCAAAACCATTGAAACATTAAAGACTGAAAAATCTGTGGTGTTAGGAAAAGAACTGAAACTATTCTTGTTACGTGTCCCAAAGGAGTATCGACATCCAAGCGGAACAGTGAAGTCAGTAATCAAACCTGATGTATGTGGACCCAAAACTCCTTGCCTAAAGGAGCTCCTGGCAATTATGACTAAACTACACAGTTAAAAAATACTGCACTTAATCATTTTGGAAAGAACTGCTCTAGCACTCTGAAGAACTCTTGCAGATGAGGACAAAATAGCAGAAACACTGTCTAAAACATACACAGTAAGAACTTAAGTGCCATACTGGGTCAGAACAGTGGTCCATCTAGCCCAGTACCTTGTCTTCAGCAGCAGCAGAAATAGAGCATTAAACCAGATAACTCGAGTGATCTTCCCCATTTATTATCCTCCCTGGCATCTACCATCATTGGTTTAATGATGCCAGAGGAAACATCTCCAATCATTCTATTCAACAGTTATTAGATCTATCCATTAATCTGTCTATTCCTTTTTGAACTTGACTATGTTGATTGCCTCTACCACCTCCTGTGGCAATGAATTCTACAAATTAACTACGCATTGCAGAAAGAAGTACTTTCTCTTGGTAGTTTTTGACTTGTTGCCTACTAATTTCAGTGGGTGTTTCCCTAGTTCTAGTAATCTGGGATTTGATGAGTAATAGAAGTGCACCTATATATCGGTCACATATAGAATTGGCACGGATAAAAGGAAAATTAACAATATCAACAATAGGCTTTTTTGGCCAGTGTAGCCAATAATGTTACCAATAAATGCTGCATGTGTGTGCATAGACACAGCATTCACAAGGCCAGTAATGCAGCTTGGCATGTTGAAGAGCAGCATCCAGCTGGTAAGTCTGTGGGGGGGCGGTATTGGGGGGGAGCAGATTGAGGCCCCCAGAGTGAGAGAGGGAGTGGTGCGGGGGCCAGGGGCAGGTGTTGCCCAGCCAGGGCAGTGAATGCAACCCCACCCGGCACAAGGTGGAACCTTGGGCAGCTCGTTCAGAGGGGGAGGGGACGGGGGGCAGTTTCCTGCTGCTGTGCACACCCCTGGGACAGGCATGTGCCACCCTGAATTTGTGCATGGGGTGAGGGCTGACTTCGCACTGTGGATTCAGGGCCAGGGGCTGTGGTGGCCTCTTTCTGGCAGGGGGGCTGGGGAGGGCAGCTGTGGTGCTGGGAGAGGGGGCTGTGGGTTGGCTATGGGGAATTTTGGGGTGGTTAAAGCCTACTCCATAGCCACCCCTCCCAGTGCCACCCCCACCCGTCCTGCACGCAGTCCAAGCCCAGTTCTCTTCCCCCTTCCCCCCAGCTTGGAGGTGGCTGGAACAGCCTCTGGCCCCAAGCCTGCAGCAGGCAGCCCACCCTTGTCCCGCACACAAATCCGGGCAGCTACATGCCCCCCCTGTGCCTCCCCCAGGGGTGCAGCAGGAAGCCACCCCCCTTTCCACACCCTGGACAAGTTACCCCCGGCTCCACCCCACTCCTGGCAGGATCGCATTCACCACCCTGGCTGGGCATTGCCTGCCCCTGTCCTACTCCCTTCCTCACCATGAGGGCCTCGATCTGCCCCTCCCGTGCCCCCTCCCTCTCCCCCCCCCC